AGTTTATGGGTTTAGGATTCTACTTTTTTTAAGTTATTGGGTTTTAACTTAATAATTTGCGCAAATTCAATGAATTTCTTAAGACAAATATAAGGTTTGGATCAAACCTACTAGGTTCAACTGAACCCGTAGTCGAAGGGCTAGCTCCGCCCTGCATGTAAAGAAATATGTAAATCCCCAAGTAAGTTATTTAGAAATTTTAAATTCTTAGATAAGTACCTAGGGATTACGGATCGGTTTAATTATCAGAAGGTTAATTATCTTTATAGATAAAGTTAGTGCATTCACATGTTTCATTAGTTCTTCTAAACCTCCTATTTGTGTTACACAATTTCTTTCGTACGTCACCCAACCTTTTTACTCTATCTCTATTTTAGTGTCGTTTTTCTTGCAATTGAGTATATAGTTTAAAAATTGAAAGCACAACCTAGGGTCTAATAATCTCATCAACTTTTCATTATAGCAATCGTTGATTGCTCATATTTATAAAGGTCTTCATCGTATTAAGATATATCTGACATAGTTACCATATCAGTCTAAGAACATTTCACATTATAAAGTAAATGAACCAAAATATAATTTAGCATTTTCTTCGCCCTTCTTTGACTTCCTTTTTAGGATCTTTTGTTTGTGTCAAGCTTTTACGCGAAATTCGTTTAATACCGGTTATTCTACAAATAAACAAACAAACGTAAGATCACTTGATATAATACCAAAATATTGATAAAATATTAAAACTTACCTTGTGGCTTCTCCGATATAAGTTCATCATCACCAATCATGTGCGAACACTGAACATTTTGTATAGGATTAATTACTTTTGCTTTTTCTGCAAAAAAATTCTAATTAGAAATCATATTATTGTAGTTTCTCTCCACACACTTCGAGGNAGAAATCATGTTATTGTAGTTTCTCTCCACAAGAATTTAAAATTATTTAAACCTCAACTGAGAAAATTGGTCATTGTTTGCCACCTTCTACAATAGAAACTTGACTCAGCAAAGCAACAAAAATCTCCTCAATCTCCCACCTAAAAGAGAGTAAAATAAAAACTTGATACATAAAAAGAGAAAATATCTTCTGATTGGAAACTTTCCTTGTGCAATAGGTATTAACCTATTGACTTAGCATCCTAACCCGTTAGACCCCACGAGTGGGTCTAACAACAACAGCCAAGTATAATCCCACTAGTGGCGAGTTGGTCTAACAACAACAGCCAAGTATAATCCCACTAGTGGGATCTAGGCCAAGTATAATCTCACTAATGGGATCTGAGAGGGTAGTGTGTACGCAGACCTTACCTCTACCCTGGGGTAGAGAGGCTGTTTCCGATAGACCCTCGGAAACCTCCCCTCCAAGAACTCCCCACCTTGCTCTTGGGGTGACTCGAACTCACAGCCTCTTGGTTGGAAGTGGAGGGTGCTTACCACTAGAGCAACTCACTCTTGTCTTCCGTTAGTCAGTTACCAAAAGTAAAAAATGACAAATATCGAACCCAGATATATCAGTCAGTTACCATAACATAACATTGGTATTCCATAGTTTGTATTTTTAATGCAAATAGTATAATTATTAAAAAATTAACAAAGCTAATATATATCTTATAAAAGTAACAATAATTGTATCAATGCTAATGGCAGTAACATTTTATCTACGTTTTTATTCATGAACTTTAAAGATAAAAAGGTTGAGAAAGTGATCACTACCGTTAACATAGAGTTAATATGCATGTTTAACTTTGGAGATATAAGAACGGATTGCAGGGCATTTGTATATCAAGGATTATACATATTGTTATGCATTTATACTTGTGGCATTTGTGTTAGAAGAAGAAGTTAGTTACGATTTTGAATGAACACAACTTTTAGTAAAAGACACATCACATAGTTTTCTTCTCTACCCGATCTATTTAATAAACATTAATTATTAGATAATATTTATATAATTAAAAGTAGGGTATTTAAGTTATTTAAAAGAATATTTTGGTTTTTGGGGTTCCTACAAATAACATTTACTTTTCCACACAAAAAAACTTCCACACATCATATATTGGTTGAATAAACTTTCACACAAAAAAACATTTAATTAAATACTTATTAAAAAGATATAACATTTTTAAAATGACACTTCAAATCAAATTAGTTTTATTCTTCTTAACAAATACTATTGTTAACAAATAGAGAATTATATATGTATATATTTATATTTAAGGATTTTTATATGTAGGGCATTTATGGTCAAAAGCATACCTGTTTAGTTCTCAAAACGAAAAGGAAGAACATTGTAGAAAAATATGGATAAAGGAGGAAATAGTGTAAAATGGAATGCATTAAGAGGTAACTAAAGATAATCATGTACATAAAGTATAATAGTGGTAAGCTATTTTGTTAGGACTCTTCGAAAATGTAATTGGGTGTGTGTCGGATCATCCAAAAGTAGTGTATTTTTTGGAGGATCCGATACGGGTACGACATCATTTTGGAGAGTTCACGCAACATAGGTGGTAAGTTATAATTAAAGATGTACTAATAGTATCATTTTTTTTTATGTACGTTGTCAATACATAGTACAAAAATCTTAGTTAAAATAGGATCGGAAGGAAAGAAAAGATTCCAAATGTAATTTTTCTAATCAAATTTTTGAAAAGAAAAATGAACCAAAATTTCAATTAAAGTAATTACCGAGTTTGATGACAATTGACGGAGACCCAATATTAAATAAGATTCATGACTTGAGCGGTGTCACATGGGAAGAGAAGCAGAGTCGAGGGAGGTGGGTAGGACCAAGGCCGAGTCTTGTGCTACATAACATGCATGCCTAAGCCAACAGTAGCAATGGTTGAATACTATAGAAAATAGGAATGGTTACTCACATTAGTAATATATAAAATCTTAAGGGTTACACCCCTTCAAATATATTTAATATTTTTATTTATTTATTTAAACAAGTAAAGAATTTAGATTAATAAGAGGGGTAATTTGGTAATTCAACTTTTTAGTTATGAGCTTCCCACTTTTAATATAATACTAGTCAAGAGTACGCGCGTTGCGCGTATACCCCATATTAATGAGTATTAAACTTTAAAAATTAACATAAATATTATATTTAATAATGTGTTTGAAAGTATAAATTTCTAATAACAATAATAATAATTGGTGGTCTTATTTATCTAACTCAATAGGAAAAACTCAATGCACACATTTAAACTAAATTTCCTAATTTGATGAACTTCGTAATTTCTTAAGAACTAAAATTAATAGAAGGAAAAGATAAGGTGAGATAGAAAAATCAAGTACCATCCTTTAAAACTAAACTTCCTTAAAATTTTTATGATGAAGAATGTGAAATAGTATCAAAGAAATTCTACAATGATTATTTTTTATAAGACAAGGAGAATTATTTACCCGAATTAATGAAACTAATAAAATTCTGACCTGATGCAAGGACGACAGTATATAATATTTAATTCTTAAATAACACAATTTAAAAATCATGTAATATGTATAATACATTTAATTAAAAGTCGGATTTATTTTTTTTCCTACGAAATATGAGCAACTTGAGCTGACATAATAATTAGTAATCTAAATATAAAACATAGTGTAAACATTATCTTGAATTAATAAGATTTTTTGTTGGTATGATCAATTATAATGCCTAATCAATTTTCTATTACGCAATACATAACCCAAACGACCAACACAAAAATTATAAATATTTAAATTTTAAATTGATAATCGTACGAGAGAAATTGTTAACAAAAAATCACAACTGATAGCTTTTTAATTTGCAATTATGTGTGAAGAATACACCACCGTCTATTATTGCATAACTTCAAGAATATCTTGAAGGTTAGAAAATTTACCTTGAACCACAAGCAAGTTTACCTCCTTGTAAGTGACACTATTTAGTGACACTGTCAAAAAGTTTATGATGAAGAATATGAAATATTCTCTTCTTTTTATATATAATGTTCAAGACCTCCTTATTTTTACATGATTTTAGTTTTAAAGTTAGATTAAAGGAGTTGTAATTCTAGGACAATTTAGCTAGATAAAATAATCCTAAACATAACATTACATTAACTGATGTGATACTATATGTGTGAACCGACCTTTTTAATGAAAACAGGCTAAAGTTTTGTATTTCGACAATTATGATTTCTCACAAAACAACAATGTATTTTACCACAAACAAATACATGTGGTAAGTCTAATTTGAAATTAGATTAGGCACGTAGGACATTACACATTAAATCAAAAAGATGTAAGGGAAAAAATTTATATAAGGTAAATTAAATGAATTTGAAAGTCCTAAATATTGGAAATTTCTACATAGTTCAAATAAGGAAAGATTTAATAACCAAAATTTTAGTTGATTTTAATGTCCTACGTATTAGGAAGATAATTTAAATTATAATTATATCCAATGTAAAATCTATTTTTTAAGGGTAAAAAAGATGAACGATATTTCGTTAAGGGGTTTCGTACTTTTAATATAGTATAGATATAGATAAATATATAAATTATGATACGATGATTATATTTAAGTTGGCTGTTACTCTGAATTATTTAATGAGTCTCTCCACATTCTTATTTATAATGCATCCAACAACAATTGACAACTCTAATGACAAGTGATACCCCATAAAAATATTTGCAAGTGAATGCCAATAGTCTGCGACCTTTCGATGTCAAGTTAATTTTTTTTTTTGGGCACTTACAATATTTTCCTCAACCTTTCTTTTGTTGTTTTGTTAGGAAAAAATATTTAGTCAAAACTATTTTTGTTGGTATTAGTTTGAAAGATTCTTAAGAAGTTCTACGTTTTGTCTCTCCTTCAAAAGAGCAACGTGAGACTCTCACCTGTGCCAGATTAGATCACCTCAATCATTGTATACAATACTCTCTTTGATAGTTATATTGACTCCAAATTGGATTAGAAATAGATAAACGAAAATTATTTTTGAATATGGTTGTCTGACACAAGTAACACAACAGTACAAAAAAACCCTGAGCGACAAATTAATAACATCGTACCAACAAGCTAAACATAAAAAAAGGAAAAGAAAACGTCATAAATTCTAAAAAAAGAAGTGACAACATATCCTGATTATAGATCAAGATGTTCCACCAATCCATACATTCAAATGAAATGAAGACATAATTCATAAAAGAAAAGTGACAAGACTACAAGTGCATAGGCCACAAAATTAAAGAACATCATAGAGCAGAGAAACAAAGTAGTGCAAAGCAGAAACAACTGCACCCGACAGCTTTCATAAACCAGCACCCCATAAAAAACCTGCAACGACAAACAGTAGCTGCAAGCCTGCAATAGGAAAAAAAGAAAAGAAAAAAGAAGAGCACATAAGGTCATAAAAAGGAAAAAAGAAAGAAAGAATGAACGGCGGAATGATAAGATTCCTTACAATCAATCGTTTAAAAACGGAGTTCATTCTCTTAAGGAAATGGTTCTAATACAAACATCTACACGCCAGACAAGCTTCCCCTCCCCTGATATGATATCCAAAATTACAAATATGATTCGGTTGTCTTCCTGGCCACACATTTTCAGTTACTCTCGCCATAATCTCACGTTCAAGTTTGTGCGATTAAAACGAAAACTATACTGGAAGTGCAATGAAATTTTATTTAGAAAAAGTTTATGAGGACAGTCATAGAAATGCCAGTAATTGCTTAAGATTGTACCTGTAGTTTGACTACGAATGAATTGAAGGATGAAGGCTTGCAGCCTCATTATTCCAATGCTAAATAAGAACTCTGCAATCACATCTATATCCATATTCAACTATTGTGTCTCTGATATCCCTGGCTGAGTTGGCAACAGATTCACTGCATGAATTTACTTCAATGTATTGCAATTTTTCCAAGTCCTCGAAACAAGAAGGGATTTCTTCGAGATGCAAACACCTAACCAAAACCAATCGCTCCAGGCAACAAAAGGCTTCATCAGACACACTCCATTCCGAGAGTTTGAGATTTTCAAGTTTCAAGATTTTGAGCTTACGGAACTCATTAGCAATCACTTCCCATTCATCCATTTCAAAGGCAACTTCTTGAAGTTGAAGTACTTCAAGAGTGAGAAGGTTGGCAATAGTTGAAATTTCAGCATGTGGCAAAGGAAATTTGCATAATGTCAGTTTCTTGAGATTTAGGGGAAAGTTCAATCTTGAAGGACCGATATCTGGAATATTGATGAAGACCACTTTTAGCGATTCAAGTCGAGGTATAGACTCCAACACAGGGAATCTTTCATTCTTTTCCAAACTCCATTAATCGGCAAAGATGCATTTTAACTTTCGAAGATTGGGTGTTCTGCTCACAATCCTCTCCATATCTTCCGCCCTAGAAACATATGGTGAGGAAAGTGTTGTCAAATTGCCGAGTTTTGAGGGGCACCGATCAAGGGATTCTTGAGTGCTATGCAAATCAAACGAAGCCCTGTCGCCAATGCTTACATGTCTCAGCTTAGTCAACTTCCAAAAAGTATCTGGTATGTGTACCGCTGTATCTCCAGTTCTTTTGACTATGACAGTCTGAAGATTCGAAAGATTTCCTATGGATGATGGGATAGAATCCTCAGTAGTTTGGACAGCAAGGTACCGTAGATGATTAAGTTCAGTGGGAAAAGATTCCACAACAACGAACTCCAAGTCCAACACCCTAAGAAACTTGAAGCTGCCAAATATGTATGATGCATTTTTCATGACAGAAAATGTATTGTCACTGACCTCCCTGAATAATACTGAACGAGCGTGCGAGCATGATGGCCTCCACCCAGCAAGATCATCCTGATTAGAACAAAACGACAATCGCCGATGCATGGGTTTTCCAGAATAGAAATGTGGAGGGACGGAATCGTAATCCCTGGTAATGGAGAATTAAGCAGGATTAAGAACAAGAGAAAAATTATGTATCTATCAATACTAAGTGAATTATAGAACGAGGTAAATGCTTTTCTAGCTACAACAGGAAAAAATTCTACAATTTATCAGTACTTAGTGAATTATAAAAAGATGTAAATACCTTTTTAGCCACAGCAGAAAATTATCTTCCTTAGCTTTTTCCTTGCAGAACTCGAGCAACAGATCGTGCACACGGCATGCTTTGATCTTCCCATTTGATCTTTTTTTAGTTTCCATGATGAGGTTTCTTCCAAGTAGATCCTCTAGGTAATCTTCTGCAATATCCTCCAAATACTTCTCCTTCTCGTTTTCTATGAATCCCTCGGCGATCCATAGATTTATTAATTTTGAGACCACAATCTCCCTGTCTTCTAAAAATGCCCCAAAATACAAGAAGCATGGCTTCAATTTATAAGGTAAATCAAAGTAACTTAATTTGATTAAAATCTTTGAGTTACCCTGGATTCTTTCACCTAAATTTAATTCCATTTGCTTCCAGCATTGTTCTGTCTTATCCATCCTTGCGAGAAGACCAGCCACTAATACAACAGAAATAGGTAGCCCTTCGCACTTTTTGGCAATTTCTTGGCCAACTTGCCTTAGCCCTTCGGGACTTTCTGTCCCAAACACCTTTTTTTGTAGTAACAGCCAACTTTCATCATTATTAAACAAACGCAAATTAAGGGGATCAGTAACGCATTTAGCGTAATTAGCAACTTTCTGGTGTCTGGTGGTCAGAATGATTCTACTACCATTTTTATCATCAGGAAAGCATAGTTTTAAATCATCCCATGCATTGTTTTCCCACACATCATCAACGATTAAAAGGTATCTTCCCTTTTTCAACAGAACTTTCCTTAGTCTAGAAGCTAAATCGTTGTCATCTAATTTACTAAGATCAGTAATCTCATCATTAGAATCACTCAAAAGGGAAAGCAGCAAGTCTCTACGAGTGTATACCTGGGAAACACGACATTCTGCTCGAAAACTGAAATGAAACTTAGTTGACCTATCATTAATAAAACTTCGAGCAAGGGTCGTTTTACCGGTTCCAGGCATACCGACAATGGAAACAACATCTAGCTGTGGTGATCCTCCTAGTAGTAGACCTACTATAGTTTCCCTCACATCGTTAAAACCCACCAATTCTTCGTTGGCAGCAGGGGAAGCAATTTCACTCATTCTCATTTCTGAGGATTTGAGCAACTCTTTGTTAATAAGCTTGATCTCCCATAATATTTCTGAAAGCCATACTGTAAGATAAGTAAGAGGAATATCTCCTACTACAAAAGAGTCAACTATGTACTCGACCTCATATGCCTTATCAGTAATTCTTTTAGCAAGATTTTGAAGCTCGTCATGTTTATTATTGCCTTTTTCTGCTATGCCGTTGAGGAAAGGTTGGAAAAGTTGAAGCTCCTCAAGAACCACATCAAGTTGGTTCTTCACAGAAGCAAGCGAATCAGAATGGCTACAAAGAAGCTCCTTCAAGCTGTCCAGAAGGAATACAAAAATGCCCAACACATCATTCTTAGGCAAATGGGACTGTACCCCCTCTCGGATGTCGAGGTAAATTTGCTTCTTGACAAGCTGAATCTTGTCAGCCAAAAGAAGGAGGTCTTGGTCTCGATCTTCTTTACTCTTGGTGCTATCATATAACGAGTAAACAATAACTCCAGTATCAATGACCAATGTCTCAACTCGTCTGAAAAAACGGACCCTCATCTTATCCTGAATGTTGATTGTCAACGCCAGCTCATCAAGAATATTTCTCAATGTGCTAAGCAGCTCAAGGAGGGTTTCTGTTTGAACCTTATTCAAGGTACAAAGCGCTCTTAACTCGTCTGATATGTGTAGAAGAGTGTTGATGAATCCAGCAGCCGGTTCAATTGAGGACATAGGAGGAGTGTTTGACGACCTCAAATCTCTCAGGACGTCAGTATAGATGTTGCGGACCTGTGGCTCAATAGGCTTGATCCGCTTTTGCAGCATACCAGAAAGCAAATCAGTGAATTCTAGAGAAACAGATTTTCCGTCGTTGAGGTTAGGCATATACAAGAAGAAGATAATTGCTACGAGGGTAACCACATGTTCAGCATGACGCAAGAAAGTTTGCCGGCAGCTTTGGAGTTCTGCACTGCATATTTTCCCCACAAAGACAACAAAGTTCTTGAGTGCTCTCAACTCCTTTTCGACCACTTCCATTTGATCATTGACTTCAGAATACATGCTGAATAACTCAGCACGCAAGGCTGGTGGTTCACCAAAGCAAACAATCAGCAAATCCTTAAGATTATGAACAATGTTTTCTGTGAATTCCACCAAGAGTTCGTGGGACAGAGGACTGGAGCTTGAAATTTCTAGATTTGAAATATCAGCTCTGCTACTCTGCTTGTAATGCTGAATCTTCGCAAGCACATTAGAGCAGTTAGCATCAAAATTATGAGGCTCTTTTCCATCCAAGATGATGTAGTAATCAGATAGGAATTGAGCTCCTGCATCATCCATGAAACTTCTGATGTCCATTTGCAGCGGGTCAGGCTTCATGCGCAGAAATATACCCAGAAACCATAGCTCTGTCTTAACAGCCCTTGTTCTATTTTTTTCACAACCCGTCCAGTCATGCTCATTCTCAATCCGCTGCAGAATGCTTACCGGATCACGAACATCAATGGGATCGGGTGACATATTTCTCCAAGATCGTGTCTGAGCTGGAAATCATAAGGAGAAAAAGGAACTTTAGCTTCAGAACTTGAATAAACCACTGAAAGAAAATTCACAAAGTTGCATACTGCCAATGTACAAAAACAAAAGCGAAAAATAAACATAAAAAGGTGGGGATCATATATGGGGAAAATTGCACCTACAAGAAATCTGTTGATTTCTGCAAGTTCTTCTTCCCTTACTAACACTCTCTTTCACAGGTACATATCCAAAGTTGCGGCGACCTTTCTTATGATCGGTTTTCAAGCCATACAAGTATTACACAGTCATTGGTTAGCTTAAAGAAGATCTTTCACTGTGTCTTGTTCTGGAAGTTCTTACATACAGCTAAAAAGTTGATCGATGACATGCTTAAAGTCATTCAAGCTATCATTTTATCGAAATAGATATGTTTTGTTGTCCTTTTTCATTCATGTTGACTTCTCAACATTGAACTAAATTTTAGTGAAAGATATGTTTGCGTGGATTTCTGTAATATACCAGTACATAAACTCTATAGGATTTGACGTTTATATAATTTATTTTTAATATTATTGCACAAATATTTCATCCTTAAACTGGTCTTGAACAAATCTTTATTTAATTAACCTTTAACTCAAATGTTAAAAAAGGGAGAATTGGATAGAAGGTCGGATACACTAAGAGATATCTGGTTCTTAGGAATGAGTCTTAGTTTCATTTAACAAGTCCAAGCTATTTTGACAACACAGTTACGCTACCAATAGCATTGCAAATTTCTTGAACAATATTTTATTAGGTATCATTGTGTATCGTCGTTCTTAAGTCCTTTTTCTGATTTACAACAACAACAACAATAACATACCCAGTATTATCTCACACAGTGGGATCTGGGGAGGGTAGTGTGTACGCAAGCCTTACCCCTACCTTGTGAGGATAGAGAGGCAATTTCCAATAAACCTTCAGCTCAGGAGCAGTCCTTTTTTTTTTTTCTTATTACAATGAATTCATTTCTTCTCTTAAATCAGAAAGTCCTTTTCCTGATTTAAGAGAAGAAATGAATTCATTGAAAAAACATGAATTCATAATGCCAGGGCGGGCGCAAATGGGTGGAAGCGGTGTCATCCGACTACTTTGCCGGGAAAAATACTAAATGTTTAGATTAATATTCGGCAAAAATGAAGCAATATATAGTAATGACACCACTTCTTGGCAAAGAGTATTTGTTGATTCACTGGTCAAGCACATACTTGGGTTTGTAAAGGTCCTAGGTTCGAGGTTGGACATTCTATTTTTTTTAACTTCTTTGAGGACATGTATGATGGGGCTAAGACCCGGGTTAGGACAGTAGGAGGCGACTCTGAGCATTTTCCGGTTGTAATGGGGTTACACCAAGGTTCTGCGCTCAGTCCGTTCTTATTCGCTCTGGTGATGGACGCGTTAACAAACCATATTCAAGGGGATGTGCCATGGTGCATGCTATTCGCCGATGACATAGTTCTGATTGATGAGTCGCGAGTCGGTGTTAACGAGAGGCTGGAGGTTTGGAGACAGACACTTGAGTCTAAGGGTTTCAAGCTGAGCAGGACGAAGACGGAGTACCTGGAGTGTAAGTTTAGCGCTGAGCCAGAGGAAGTGGGCGTGGATGTGAGGCTTGATTCGCAGGTCATCCCGAGTAGAGGCA